CTCCTTCCCCCTCAGAGTTTGCCTGTGTTAGATTCCACGTACAAGATGTAGTATCTGCCTTTCTGTCCCGGCTTATTTCACTTGGCGTAATGCCCTCCAGGTTCGTCCACGTCGTTGCAGACGACAGGATTTTCTTTATAAGGCTGACTAGTATCCGCTGTGTATGCATCACCATTTCCTTCTCCGCTCGTCTGCGGACGGGCGCTTAGGCGGATCCACGTCGGGGCTACCGTGCACAGTGCTGCAGTAAACACGGGGTGTGGACATCTCTTCGACATACTGAGTTTGTATCCTTCAGAGAGGTACCCAGTGGTGGATTGCGGGAACATGTAGTAAACAAATGGTAAATTTTATGTTATTTATTCTGCCAAAATTTAAAAAACAAATGTGCCTGCTTGGATGCACTGATACGGAATTCCCTTTTGGAGAACTTTTATGTCGTAGCCAGCACTGACCCTGGGAACGCAGAGGACAGTGAGATTATGTGTCCATTCTGCGCCTCTCCTCCTAACTCTAAGTTCCCACGTCCAGTTCCCAGCCCCCAGCTCCAGCTGCATAGACGACGCATCAAACTTGACGTGCGAAGCCGAGCTCCGGGTCGGCCCCACGCCTCCTCTAGGCGCGATTTCCCACCTTCTTCAGTGGAAGCTCCATCCTTCCATTTGCTTGGACCCAAAACCAGGAGCTCGTCCTGTCTGTTTTGCCAAATCCCACGGAAGTCCACTGGGGAATCCCATGAGCTCTACTTTCCAAGTGTCCTGAATGCCACCACTTCTCACACCTCCCCTGCCCCTGCCCTGGCCTGCACCTGTCACTGCTCACCTGGGCTGGAGCATCCTCAGGCTGTTACTGGACAGAGTCAGAGCGATAACAGGTACGAGTCACACCATGCGGCTCCTCCAGTCGGCGCCGCCAGCATCGTCCCACTTCTCTCAGAGGGAGACCCGAAGTCCCCACAGTGGACTTGGGACCTCAGTCCATGTGCGCGGCCCTTGAGCCTCTTACCCCACCTTGCTCGCGCCCCTCACTGCCTGGCCACGCGCCAGTGCTCGGCGCCACGCCCTGGAGACGGGCACCCAGCCCCGGAGCCTTGCCCCTGCTGGCTTCTTCTTCCAAATACCTTCGTGGCGTGACCTCTTTCTCCTTCAGTTTTTATTCAGATTCACTTTGTCCTTCGCACCTGCCCCGGCCAACCCACTGAGAATTCCAGAGTCCTCGGGAAATCCCAACACCCCACCTGCACGTCCATTCCCGTCACACTGCCGCTGTGTGGCACACCATCTTACCATGCGTTAAATTTTTCTGAGACGTCAGAGTCCCCGCTCCTCCAAAATATAAGTTCCAACAGGGTAGGGATTTTTTTCTTTTTGTCTATTTTGCTATTGGTTGTATCCTGAACGCCTAGATGAATTCTGGCACATGGTAGGTGCTTAGTAAACATTTGCCGAATGTTCCATGAATGGTGGCCTCCTCCATCTCCCTGTGTCCTTGGGCCCATCTCCATCTCCTTAGCTGAGGACACCATCGTCTCTCTCCGAGAATATTACACCAGCTTCCGACTTTACCTGCCCCCAGGATCACTCTCCTCCAATTCACCTTCCGTGTGGCCCACCGCACTCCTTCTCAACGCAAACCTGGCGTGTCACCTACGGGAGAGACGCTGCGTGTCCACCGACACCCATGTTCCCCCTTTCTGGACGTGGGATTTGCAGCTGGGAACAGCTGTATTTCTCAGCAGGCTCCCCCCAACATTGCAGCCAAATATGGCCAGATAATGGGCATGAGCAAAAGCAACGCGGGCCATTTCTGGGCCAGGACTTGTGTGAAGTAGGCATGCCTTTCCCCGCCCATCCCTGGGAGAGGACACCCGACAAGACCCTACACTTCGGAGGAGCCATCGTGTGAGGGGAAGAATCCTGGCCACTGGGTCACTGCAGCAGAGAGCCACCGGCGACTCGGAGCCCTTCCCCACACTGTCACACGAAGGAGAAAAAATTGTTATTGTGTTTGATTCATGGTGTCCAGGGTTGACCAAGGTTTTTTGTCAAAGGCTAGATAGTGACTACTTTAGGCTTTGTAGGCTCTGCCTGTATTCTTCTTCTTCTTCTTCCTTTTTTTCACAACCATTTAAAACTATAAAACTGTTCTTAGCTTGAGGCCACATGTAAACAGGCGCCCAAACTAGAGTTGGCCCCTGGGCCACAGTTTGCCGTCCCCACGTTGCATTACCACAGTCTGGTCTCCCCTCGGAGTTGCATCTTCAGTGGCTCCCACCCACCTAAGGTTCATGCTCCCAAGGCTGAAGTTCAGAAGTCTCCAAGGGTAGCGACTATTTCCTCTCCCCAACTCTACCCACCATGAGCAGCCCACTGGTTTCCCTGCTTGTGTAACTACGCCTGGATACTCCTGCCCCAGGCTTCATGGGAAGCTCCTGCACTTTCTACAAATCTGGACTCATATATATATATATATATTTTTGTTTTTTTTTGAGTCAATGTCTTGCTCTGTCCCCCAGGCTGAAGTGTAGTGGAGTCATCATAGCTCACTGCAGCCTCCAATTCTTGGGCTCAAGCAATCCTCCTGCCTCAGCCTCCTAAGTAGTGGGGATTCAGGTACATGCCACCACGCCTGGCTAGTTTTTTAATTTTTTCATAGAGACAGGGTCTGGATGTTACCCAGGCTGGTCTCAAACTCCTGGCCTCAAGTGATCCCCCCACCTTGGCCTCCCAAAGTGCTAGGGTTACAGGCGTGAGCCACTGTGCCCGGCCCTGAGTTCACATATATTATATTAATCTTTCTTGGGACCGACGTCTCAGCCTGACCCCAAGCTGGTCAGGTGCCCTTGCTTCATTGCCCTTGAGCTACTTCCTTCAAAGCCCTGTCTCCCTACGTTGCATCTGTCTGCTTTTCCCCTCTGTGAGGCCTGTGAAGGCGGGAGCTCTGTCTTTTTTATCCCTCGGGCTCAATGCTGCCTCTCTTCCCATTCTGCTACTTAAAATTGCTAAGGGCTTGGAGTGAGATCCTCGATGGTGTTAGATTGCATATGGCGAAAGGTCTAGGAGGGTCAGAATCCCGAATTTGCAATCCCCGCCATGTGACGTTGCTTAGAAAAATGTAAATCCAAAGAACGATGGCCAATTAAAACATATGACTGAATATATATCTCCAATTCTTCTATAATTTTATGTTTTTAACTGTTCATGTACTCTCCAGCCAAAAATGACATTTCCCAGCCTCCTCCGTGGCTGAGAATAGCCGTGTGTAAAGCTGTGGAGCGAAAATGATGGACGACCATTCAAAGACATTTCTTCAAAATAATCGAACGTGCCCCAACCCCGGCATCTTTTCCCGCTGGAGGCAGATGAAGCACCCGTCGGACCCAGAGATGAAACCACATAGCCGGAGAAGGCGGAACCATCCTTCCAGCCCGTGAGAGCGTCTGCTGGCTGGTATGAGAGGGTGGGGCAGACTTTTATCTTGTACACTCCAAGATATTTTGGGGCTCTGTCTTTTCGGCTCACCGATCATGGATGCGGAAGCCCTGAAGTGCCGCGTAAGAAGTTTAACTGCCTTGAACCATCCTCCTGGAGGGCTGCCGTGTAGACAACTGTCCCAGCCGAGCCCAGCCTTCCAGCTAGAGCCACCAAGACACAGACATGTGAGCGAAGCCACCTCGGACCCTCCAGCTCTGTCCACCCACCAGCTGAACACCACCAGTGGTCTCCGTCAAAGCCACACGGAATAGAAGAATCATGCGATCAAGCCCTGGCCGAATCCCTGACCTACAAAATTATGACACAAAATAGTTGTTGTTTCAAGCCACTAAGTTTTGGGGTCATGCATCACGCAGCAATAGGCATTACTCCTATCAAGTGAAAGAAAATCTAAAGCAAAAGGCATTGGTGAAGAAAAGAAGAGAGGTTCTTCCAGGAATGTATAACACATAGCTTAAGTGATGCTAACAATATAGCTTCAAAATATGTAAATAGCTCTGAAACTAATGAACAGGGACTAGGTCAGATATCCAGAAATTACCAGAACTTGGAATTAAGGGCTCTCTCATTAGATAATCCAAAATCCATTACCTCCCACAGGTTGTATTTTCCTAATCCCACAGCTGACTCTACCATCCTTGATTTTGCTACCTCCAACAAATTCCCACAGTAATTAAAAAAAAATACATTGACTACGTGACAAAAAATATTTTATTCTCCCCATCCTCCTCCAGGTTACCTCTCCTCATTTCTGGAGGAGACTCAGGTGGGTTGGAAGCAAAGGGAAGAGTTAGCATGGTACTTTGAAGAATCTTTTGAAGACATCCTAGAATCTCAGACTTAAGAGGGGTATTTGTATTATTCAATAGCTCACATCATAATTGGGATGATTCCAAAAGAAAACAATTACTGATTTTAAATGTATTGCAGGAATATTCCCTGATTATCCCAGAATCTTCCAAATGGTTCCTGAATTACTTTTGTGTTCATTAACAACACTGTATATTTATTCCAAAGATAAATCAATAAGACCTGAGACACTCCAGGGATTTTTTTTTTTTAAGAACAATTCTTCAAATGCTCCAAAATTTCTTCATGAGATTTGGGAATTTAATTTCAGGATCTTAGTCTCAGCAAAGGGTTTCTAGATCGAGTTTCAGGGGGAACAGGAGGAGCTGGAGAAAGACGAGGCGGAGGGATTTGGAGGCATCTATGACTTCAGGACACCTTCCTCCTTGGGAACTTTCTCGCCCAGCACACCCAGATCTGTGGGAGAGAAAGAGGCGGATTGTGAATGGTTCTACTCACCGTGACCACCCAAGCCAGGTTCTTGAGGTTGGGATGAAGCTGGGGAGGAAGATGGATTTAGTTCATCTCAGATCCAATGGCCTTTCCTTTTCTGTCTCCCTCTTTCCTTTTTGTTCTTCCTTCTCTTTATTTTCATCTACTCACATATTTACCTTTTCCACTCCTGTTTGAAGATTCACATGCTGGAGGTGGGTGTCTTCAAGAGCCAGAGAGTTGTCAAGTTTGGATGAGAATTAGTGAATTTGGCGGGTATCACATCCAGCATTGTCCAATATGTGCTTTTGAAATGGATTTAATGGAATAAAGGCACAGGGTTAGGTTCCAAGAACGGGGCTAGGATTAGAGAAGGAGACGGAACTGGTGTTGAACGTGTGGACGTCCAGCTGCAGGAGGGCAGGACAAGCTGGGGCTGGAGCACTGGCTGAGCTCACAGGCAGGTGGGAAGGTGGCAGGTGAACGCTGTATTTGGATAGTTCAATTCGCTCATTTAACAAATATTTACTAGGCACCTGCTATGCACCATCACTGTGCTAGACAGTGAACCACACAGAGACGGGCCCTGCTCGCGTGGAGCTCACATAATACACAAATTAGTATGTGAGAAAGAAAGAAGCACATCAGTGATAAATGTTACTATTAATAAGAAACAGGATGAGAAAAATAGGGAAAAAGTGGATTTATTCTAGGTATAATGGTCAGGGAAAGCCTCTAAGGAGGTGATCACTAAACTGGCTTCCAAATGACAGGAAGAATCCAGCCATGCAGAGCTCTGGAAACAGAGCTCTCTAGAGTGTAACAACTAAAGCAAGTCAGTGCTAATAAAATAAAAATATAAAATTAAGTCAAAACACTCTGGACTGAAGTACTAGCTGGTGCAAAGATCCACAAGAAGTAACGACCGGGTTCACAGAAAACCAGACGCCATGGTTGGAACAGAGGGGCGCGTGAGGGTGTGGGTGCAGATAAGCACAGTTCAGAGTAGGATGAACTGCGGGAGAGGCAGGTCTTGTCTGGCAGAGAGGTCAAAGTTGAAATTGCAACATGAGATCAAAGTGAGGGGTGTGAGGTCAGCTTGGGGTGACACGGGGGGAGATCAAGGTTTGGGTGTGGGCTCATGGTTGGGAAAGTGTAGACTGTGGGGTGACTTCACACCCGGCTGGGAAAGCAGAGCAGGACTGTGAGGCAAGGTCTGAAGTCACGGCACAGAGCTGAAGTGAGCAGTCGAGGCCAGGCTGGGACCCGCAGTGAGGGTGTGGACGGGGTGGGGGTCACAGTGAGGAGGCTCTTGGTGGACCCCGGCTTGCTGCCTCCTCCCTTACCCCAAAGCTCTGCCCGACACCACTTCCTTCCCCTCTATTTCTCTTCCGCCTTTCCCCGTGTTTACCTCCAATCTCTGGTTTGGCAAATGTCTCCACCAGACTCCTCCTGGAGGCCTGCCGACGGCGGGAATAGGGAAGTCCATCTAGGAACAAAAGCTCAACATTAACAAAAATAATTAGGAACACGACACTCAGCTCAGTATTTCATACCACGGAATGTGGCTCTGCTTCCCTTGTTTCCTTGGAACCTTGTGGTACTTATGGTGGGTCTCAAATCTCCTGTGGGGATTTGGCCCCATGGGAGACACTCGACCACGTCTGGAGACATGTTTGACGGTCACAGCTGGGGACAGGGCATGCGGCTGGCAGCTAATGGGTAGAAGCCAGGGACGCTGCTGAACAGCCTCCAATGCATGGGAATGGCACCCACAAGCAAGGGACTGTCCAGCCCCAAAAGCGTTAGTGCCGGGGTTGAGAAGCCAGGCCTCCAACGCACTGAGTCGCCCCGATGGTGAGCAGGCCCAGCCGAAGTCACACGCTGCACTCACGCTGGGCACACCCAGGAATCCAACCCCCCCACCGCCCGGTGCCTCCGTGATGCTGTCCCTTGAGGTGTAGGATGGGAAGGAGAGGTCGTTTGGGCAAGTGAGAAGACGAGGCATGAGCGAAGAGGAGACGGATGCGAGCTCGCAAGGAGACAACATCAACAATGGCAGCCATGACCGTGCTGTCCCTGCCGTGTGCCCGACACGTCTAGGACACTTATGTGCATTTTCTCCCCGAGTCGTGCAACAAAGTCAGGAGGCAGTTCCACTCACACCACTTCACGTAGGCAGGAATCGGAAGCTCGGAGGGAATGCAGCACTTCCCAAGTTCCCACAGGCGGAGCAAGGGCTGGAGCCCACGCCAGCCAGTTCCCAAAGCCACGAGTGAGCGGCGCGTGGAGGGTGTTCACTCACCGATGACCTTCCACAGGTCCAGGATCTCGAGAGCCGTCTCCCTCTTGCCGTCCTGGTCGGCCACCTGGGGGAGGCGGAGGACTGGGGAGAGCAAGACCAGGTGGCCTGTTGACAGGTGACGATAGCACAGACCAACCAGCAACCCTACAGCAGGAGTCATTTGGCCGGGCACCTCCACCAAATCTGCGGGACGGTGTGTGCTGTGACCACCCCAGCGTACCAGCGAGGAAACTGTGGTTCCAGTCACTCGCTCAAAATCTCACCACTGCTAAGTGGCAGGACTGGGGTTTGAGCCCACCCCGTGTGGGTCCTGATCTCACGCTCGTTCTGCGCGGCCACATTGGCTCTGGGCCTGGGTGTTCCCGCACCACTGAACGAAGCCCAAGCTGCACCTGCCTTGAACATCACAGAGGGGCTCGGAATGTCACAGATTTAACGGCCACCAAGCGGCGCGTGGCCGTGTGCACAGCTAGTGCTGGAGGAAGATGCACTCGGGGAAACGGGGAGGGAAATAAAAAGGAAAGAGGAGAGACGCTAATTGTTACGTGGCACCCACTGCATGCAAGGTACTGCTCTAACTCAGTCCTCTAGAGGTAGGGCCATTACTGCCCCCGTGGTCACAGGCGAGGAAACTGAGTCATGGAGGGATCCAGGTTGCACGCCAAGCAGGTGGCAGAGCTGGGATTCGAACCCGAGGCTTTGGCTTCACAGTCCGCATGCCCTTCGCTCTGCTTAGACGGATCTGGAAACTAGTTCACGGGCTGCAGTGAATGTGGGTTGAGTGTCCTTACAGGGTCACAGGCACGCTGTCTGCAGGCACCGCGGGCGCGGGCCGGGCACGGGCGCCCAGAGCGGCTCACTCACCGGGACCCAGAAGGTAGCCGGCACTGTTGAGCGTCCAGCCTCCTCGGCCCTGCGTGAGGACGGAGAAATCGAGACTCAGACCGACAGAAGGGGACAGGTGTCCGACAGCCCGGGACGACGTGGGCCGTCGCGCCGCTTCCCTGCGAGCCTGGGAAGCGAGTTTGCTTAACCCGCGGCCCTGGTGAGGGACTCGAGGACTTTTAAGGCATAGCAACTGGGCGTGAAGGCAAAGCTTCAGAAGGCACCGCTGCGAGAGCAGAATGTCGGCTGCCGGGGGCTGGGGAGAGACCCGCGAGGAAGTGCTGGACAGGCGGTTTCGGCTACGAAGGTGGGTGAGTCCCGGAGATGCGCGGGGCAGCGCTGCGCCTGCAGCTAAGGACGCGGCGTTGCGCTCTCGCACGTGAGTTAAGGGAGCAGATCCCGGTTAAGGGTTGTCACGAACGCGCGCACACATGCACACACACATACATA